TGACGGGAGCTGTCACAGTCTGTGGTGGATGGAAAGAGGTTCTCAGGGCCCAGAAGAGCTCCATTGGTCCCCAGATGGTCTGAAGATTTCAAGGCAAGTCCCGGCTCAGTCATTCTCCAGATATCTCATCGGGAAATGGGACTATTCAACTTTATGTGCTTTTCAAGGGGGCAACATGAGAACAGGAATACATTCACCCATCTATAGAAGTTTCAGGAGAAGTCTGTTTCAGCAGCTGCTTTTCCCTCACAAGCACTTGGCTAGAAGTGAGAAGACATAAGTTTAGGTGGCAATTTCACTCTTCTCGCTTCTGTGTGATATTAGCGGCTCATTTTATTAACTCATTTTGTTTGTAGGACTGGAAAATGGGATGGGGAGGAGTAGAACTTTTTCTGTCTATTTCAAATGGCAATTAGGTAGACCAAAGAAAACAATATATTTCTTAATCTTCAAGCATGTATTGAAAACCTGCTCCGAGTAGGACTAGCCAGAAATGCAGAGATGCCAAGGTTGGAGAGAGGGACAAAGAGCAAGAGAAGGGAAGAAATTAACTTGTAAATGTAAGGGATCCCCCTCCCCCCGTGCTGGGGATTGAACCCAGGGTGTCAAGCTGAATTCTTGACACTTTCTGTTTTCATTTTGACATAAGATTTCACTAAGTTGCCGGGGCTGGCCTGAAATTTGTGATCCTCTTGCTTCAGTCTGCTGAGTAGTTGGGATTACAGGCGCACCATTTCCCCCAGGTTTATAGGGCTCTCCATGAGACAGCTATCACCATAACACCAGCAACTCACATAACAGGGCACAGCAAATGATCACCCGTGAAAGAAGTTAACAGTTAGTGCCAAGTTTAGCCTCCCATGTTTGGTTCATGGAAAAGCCAAAAAAATAGTGAATAAGCAAGAGATGGGCAGATGTGTAGACTGCCAGCTCATGTCTGAGCAAGGGTGAATATCATTGGTACTGAAATACAGACTTTCAAAACAACAAGATGCAGAAATGGGCCATCTATGCTCAAGCAGCGCATCTTCTCAGAGTTTCCATCACACAGCAGTGGAAGAAAAGAGTGCAGGTTACTCCTTTATCGGATTTCATTTTTGACATCCGTGAGGGACTGAGGTACTAACTCCCAAAGGGATGGCATAGACCGAAAAAGCTTGGTTTCAGAAGCTCTCATGAAAAACATAAAAAGGTCTAATGTTGTTACTCATGTAGGAAAAGATGAGTTCTCTCCTATATTCTGTGAGACTTGGAAAAAGTTCAAAATTACTAATTTAGAAAACTAGAATGCATAGAGGTCACCATGGAAGCAGAGTGTGTGGAATATGGAACATATTGTTTTGAAGGCCATTTTTATTTTAGGGATCCTGAATACCTCAGCTCACTGAGCTAGGAAACAAAGTCTATCTCAGCAAATAGGAGGGCCAGGTCACTGGCGAATACAGGGCTGTATTTCAAAGATATCTGTGGCAGGGACAACGGCCCCAACCCTTCCCTCATCCCGGCATCCTCCCAAGATTAGACAGCAGCTTCGTCAGTTTTTTCCAACGTCTTGAAAATGATTTTTCCCTTCATCACCACACACAGCTGTTTCCTTGCCTCGCACCCACAGAAAGCCAGTACTTTTGGGCATCAATTGTCACAACTGTATATAACTTGGATGGTGAGTATGACATTTTTAATGGCTTGATGGTTGCTTAGCATATAGTTCTGGCTTTTGACTATAACCTGTGATGATTAAATGTCAGTGTCATTTGCCAACTTAGCAAGTTTGTGACTCCCAGATCAAACATCAGTCTAGATATTGCTCTAAAGATCCTTTTAATTTTTCTTTTCTTTTCTTTTCTTTCTTTTTTTTTTTTTTTTTGAGACAGGGTCTCACTATGTAGTTGAGACTGACCTGGAACTTACTATGTAGTCCAGGCTGGTCTCGAACTCACAGCGATCCTCCTGCCTCAGCCTTCTGAGTGCTGGGATTACAGGCGTGCACCACCACGCCCGGCCTAAAGATCCTTGTTAGAAGTGATTATTACCAAAACCAGGAGACTTTGAATAAAGCAAGTTACTTTACATTTCACAATGTAGGCCAGCCTCAGCCAGTCAGCCAAAGGCCTTAAAAGAGAAGTCTAAACTTTCATGAGAAATTCTGCTCAAGATCGCAAGGTAGATAGACTCCTGCCCAAATTTCCAGCCTGCTGCCCTAAGAATCTGGACTGAGGTCATTACTGACTGTCACCTGAGTTTCTAGGCTGCTGGCCTGCCCTCCAGAGTTTGGACTTGCCCACCTTATAATCATGTGAGTTTTTTTTTTTCTCTTTCCCTCTTCTCCCTCTTCTTCTCCCTCTCCCTCTCCCTCCCTCAATATCTTATTCTATTGCATCTGGGATTACCTTCCAGTCTCCACAATTCCTTCATCTTATTCTTTCTGGTTTGCTGGCCTCAGCCAGCTTCTTAGCTTCTTCGTCCCTTTCCAAATTCTAATCTTCCTTGCACACTCACTTGTACTTGTACCTATTAGCCTCATTGGGGCTTTTTGTGAGCCTACAGTCATGGATCCTTCTTTCCTTAAAGATTAGTTGGAACTACTTTGGTATAAAGACAAATATAGGAGTATAATCATTTGCTTCTTTTAATTTTAAAAGAAAGTACCTTTTATGGGCTCCTTAAGGCATCCTGGGATCTGGCACCCCGCCACTTGTGTCTGATAGATAATAAGCCATCCCTGGTACTGGCTCTGTAGCGGCACCCTGAGTAGACATCTCCTGTCATTCTTTCCCTCGTATGATCTCACCTCACACTGCTGCCTGTGTCAAGTAAGACAGCGCATTCATGTAGAGTGCCTAGAACCTGCAGATGTGCCTAGCGCTAGCAAATGCCCACGATTGTTAGCTACTTATATTTAAACTGACATTGGTCATAAACCATCTTGACTATTATCTACTGTTTCACCTATGTCTTGTACCTTGGTTAAACATTAAGCTTTTTGAAGGCCAGGAGTACGATTTAGGACAGTAGCTCTCAAGCTGAAGTGCATATGCAAGTAACAAAGGAACTGCTCTGACAGGGCTGGCCACACCCCCGGACTTCCCGAAGCTAGAGGGAGGAGCTGTGTGTGTGTGTGTGTGCGTGTGTGCGTGCGATCATTTGTATTTCTAACAAGCTCTCAAAAGGTACTGATGTCACACTCAGAGAACCACTGTTTTGGACAATGCTGTATCATCCCCAAAATTAGCATAGAGGGAAACTTTCAGATGTATTCAGAGTAAATTATGCAAAAGGTAACAGCAATGTCAGTGGGGAAATCTCTGCCAGCCCCTCATTGTGAGAAAAGTTTTATCACAACAGGGGCTGAGCCCAAAGGGATAAGCAGAGAAATCTGTTTGAAAGAAAAGGTGCTCATGGCACAACTGAATGGGGACTATCAGCTGTTGGTTTTCAGGAGCATGCGCAAAATGCAGACAAGAAGCCAAACAATAGCTGAGCCAGCTCATGGCTGCCTGAATTTTCAGCTCAATCTATAACAGAGCCAGAGGGCTGTTGGGATCCATCTGTTGCTCTCTTTCTGATAATGGATCTGGGGTCTCTCTGGAAGGAAATAGCTTGACAGGAAAAAGAAAGATTAGGCCAACAGAAAATGTCTAGGTTTCTGAAGCTGTGCTTGAAAATGGTACAGCTTTTAACTCCTAACGGCACTTCAGTAACCCTCCAAACACCTCTGCTATTCCTTCTGTTTTCTTTGTTCCTCATCTCAAGGAATATAGTTTGTGAATGTCAGTGGTATCTCAGATACCTACTGTTTCCATACAAATCCAGTCCATAGAATTTTTTTAAAATAAAATGTTTACCTTTTTTTTTAATTTATTCAGAAGTCCATAGAATTTGAAGGAAGACTTGCGATCATCCAGCCCTACTGATTCTATGGATGAAGAAACATAAGCCTGGAGTTAATCCTAAAATATGTAATTGGTAAGGGTGCAGATCTGGGCTGGGATCCAGATCCCTAGGCTCACAGTGAGTACATGATGTGTGCAGTCCTTTATACTCACTCATAAATGGAGTAGGAAAAACATATCGCTCCTCCAGCGGATTTTAAAGGGAAAACATCATCTTAATTCACATTTGACTATTGGCTCTTTTGCCCCTGGAAAGTGGGCTTTCTAAGGGGCACTGAAGAGAAAGGAAAGCCTAAACGTTTTCAACAGGGCTGAAAACCTCAAAAGCAGCAATGCTGTCCTGTTACCTGTCATATGTCTGCTGGCTACCCATGAACACAGCAAGAACAGAGTCTCAAAACACACACAAAATGAATGAATAAATAATGGAAACATGGATTTGATTATTGTTTGCTAACTTCTAGGCTAATTATGGGATAAATGTTTCACACTAAGATTTTGAGCCTGCTGTGGGGTCCTCTTATCTCTACCGGAACGGCAGGTGCTTACATAAAACCAGAAAGTGGCTTTTGTATAAGACAGTGTGCCAGCCAGAAAGGTACAGGTTCTGGGAGCAGAAGTCCTTGAAGCCCAGAGCGTTCCGTCTAGTGACTTAAATCTTGGAAAGTTAGAGAAACATTCTGAGCCTGGAGTCCCTTCCCCTCCATCCCACCGCCATTTTCTCCTCCAGTAGCGTTAAGGATTCAATGAGATGCTGTATGCAAACTGCCTTGCACATAGTTGGTGCTGAATAAATGTTGGTGCCACTGTGTCCTATTCCCAACTGCCTGTTTCAGTTCATATAGGTATTGGAGTAGGAGGGATTGGGAGTCTGGAGGGAAAGTCCCAGCTCCGTACACAGGGCCTTTTTTGGCTACAAATGTACACAAGTCATCGTTTTCATTAGAGTTGTCTACCAGCTGCTGTTACTGAGGATGTGCTTTGCAATACATACAAAAGCAAACCTCCTACACCTGAGAATTCATCATATCCAAATGACCTTCACTATTTCCCTGATTTCTAAATAATAGTTTTCAGGAAAAATAATAAATCTGGTACTTTGCTTACCCATTTGGTCTTGGTTTCCCGGTTCCAGGCTCAAGAAACTCCGTCTCCTCCTCCATTTCCCTTGCAGGGATCCCGTTTATCTGAGACGGCTGCGGTGAAAGCATTTCCCATTCATTGTCATGGGCGACGGCTTGCAACACAACTGTGTCCGGGCCAGCCCTACCTCGGCTCTTCATCTTCTGTGATTGGCCGGTCAGACCAGAGACTTCCTCTAGTGCTAAAGGTTCTGAAGGCTTCGTTTCTCCCATCTGAGGCTCTCTGCTCATGTACGGATCAGAGAATGGCCCCACAGTCTTGCCAGCCCAACCTGTCCCTGAGTCCCTGGTTTCTGGTGATGGATGACTGACCTCGCCACAACCCAAGATCATCCAACTCTGGTCTTGTGCAGAACGTTCCAGAGGCAACGTCTTGTCATCTTTGGTTGAAGATCTCTCTACAGAACGATCTTTGCTTTCATTTAAGGAGGTAGGCTCACATGTATCTGGGAAGCTTGCTACCTGAGTTCTTGTCAGTCCTGGTTCTTCAGAACCTATGTGTGATTCCTCTAATTGAGAGGTACTTTCTCTTGCTTCACAGACCTCTGGCTTCCGGGGTGAATTTTGTTCATGGCCTACAAGTATGTAATCCATGTGTATTGCGTGATGATCTCCATTCTTCCCCGTCCATCTTTCTTTTTTATATTCTAATTTTATCTGCTCAGGCTCTTTGGCAGGGATTATTTTTTCTTCTTCTAACTCTAATATTCCCTCATCGGCACCTAGAAGTGGAAAGTGAAAGTGAGGAGAGGAGAGGAAGTTTTAATTAACACATTGTATGATTTGTGATCTTTGCAAATGATTATCTAAAAAGAGGTCATTTAAAAAATACCTCTATTTTGTAGAACTGTTTAATTTTCTCATGCATGATCAGAGAGAGAAATTATTTCATAAGCCCTAAATTTTAATCAAGTTATAAAGCTTAATATATAATTTAATATATAAAACTTAATATAAAAATTAATATATAACTTTAATCAAGTTATAAAAACTTGATTATTGCCCATTGCCGATTTTAGCTTCTCTTTACCTACTTTGGTAGGAAGAGTATGTTTTACATTCACATTGGTTTAATTGAAGCATCAGTTTCTCGGGGTGAGGGGAATGGGCCATTTCTTACCATTTGATGGTCCCATGTCTCCACCTGCTGGTGAATCAGAATTATCTGATTCTATTTCCCAGTCAATGTTTGATGGAGAGGACTCAAAGTTGGAGCTTGCTTCTCCTACTGGAAAAGAAACTGACTCAGAGTCTTCATGAATGTGCAGCACAACTGGTTGGTGTCCAGGTTGTCCACTTTTAGTCTCAGTGTGCTTTCCCTCACTTTGATCAGGAAGAGCAGAAAGCAACATATCTGCTGCTTCACTTCCCAGAGATAAGTCTTCTGGAGACCCAGCTTCTCCTGTTGTCTCTGCACCATGCTGGGCTTCTGTGAAACAGGACAAGTCAAAGGGAGGGGTGTAGGGTGCCACTGATTGCTTCTGACCATTTTCCTCCAAGGGAGGGTTAGCACCATAGAGAAAATGTTCATGCTCTTTCATTAAATCCTCATCGATGTTCTGGCCCATTGCATCGTATTCAAAATCACCCCACGAGGCTTCAGATGAACAGATATCTTGTTTCCCAGCATCTCCATCAACTGGTGTTTCAGGATGGCCTCCTGACAGTGTCAGTTTACTCATGTCATCTATTGTCCCAGTGGAAGTGTTAAGACCGGAGGCATCGCTGAAGCTGTGGTCAAAGGCAGCTTCGCTTACATCCAAACAAGTCCCCAAGGTGAGCAAAGCACCAGTCTCAGGAACAAAGGATGGCTCACAGTTAGACAAAGCCCTTACACCTGTCTGACTTTCAGGAGAAAAGTTCTCTGGTACCCAGGAGGGGTTGCCTTCCATAGTTGGCTCCTGGTGAGTTACTAAAATATGAGTTCCCACATTTTCAACCCTTTGGATTCTCCTGTCAATGAGTTCCAAAACCGGTGCTGTATCTGTACTAGGTGCTTCTTCTGATGCTTTTAAACCTATATTATTGTCACCATCCATTTCGCAATGCTCAGGAGAACCTAGAGAAGAGGCAGGCTGAGATGAGCCGTTTATGTTTGCTTGATTGCTAATTGGAGGCAGCAGAATTACATTTTCAGCAGAGAGTTCCGAATTGCATGGGACAGATTCCTTTCCAGGCTGCAGACTCAGGTCTTCATTTAGCTTTGACTCAGTGAGATAAAATTCACTGGGTTGCACTTCGGGTCCGATGAAAGCACTTACACCCTGCTCAGTCTCTTGCTTTCCTTCGGAATCATGACATATATCGGGGCTGTTGGAAGCCTGAGAATTGCTGTCGTGGTCACAGTGAGTGAGTATGTCAGGATTCTCACCATCTGCTTCCGGACTGAAGGGCTGCTTGACATCCACCCACAAGTCAGGGGAGGCTGAGGGCAGCTGCCCACCCTCTTGGAAGCTGCCATGTAAAATATCTGGAGCAAAGGTACCTCGGAGGTCCTCATGAGGGTTGGAGCCGTTCCATTCAGAGACTGACTTCTTTATCAACTGGCTGGGAGAATGGATGGCAGAGAAATTTTCGGAGGCAGTGCTTGAATGTGTCATTTCACTAAGGTTTGATTTCTCTCGTTCCCACCAATTTGCTTCCTGACAATCGATAGTTGAGGCATTAGCTGCAATGTGTCCGTTTGCATCTGATTGCGCGACTGCGGGGTCTGGCTGATCCCAGACAGATAGCACGGTACCCCGGCATTGCTCTTGAGTGGATGCCTCGGGAGGAAATTCATGACCAGCTGAAGATATAAAAGTTTTCTCTCTTGAATCATTTTCTTCAATTTGGTCCAATATTACAAGCCGACTAAACTGGTCAGTATCTGGATCTGGCTGCCTCGGTTGGATATTCCAAAGTTGCTCATGGGAGTTGTCCCCATTACTACCCAGGAAGGGCGGCTGAAGTTCATCACTGAAAGGACTGGGGCAGTGTGTTTGTGTGGTATCACCCTGGGTGGGTACCCCCCACAGGCCCACACTTTCATATACCGAAGAATTCCTCGATAATGCATCGCTTGAGTTAGCCAGTACCCCCTGAAATGTACTCTCAGTGGGTCCCCTTTCCTGTGGAGGGGCTTTCCACCACTCACTGCTCTCAGTTGAGAAGCCAAGCATTTCCAGTTTAGAATGAGCTCCATTCTTTGGTTCAGCTCTGGGAGACATTTGCCATATTACGTCTCTTGTCTTCCCTGCTTCTGGAGACGGTTGTGTCTCCTCCTCTGCTGTGATCTCAATGTCCGTCTCTGTGAGTGGTGGGAAATTCCAGGGATCAGAGCTGCTCTGACTATCACACAGTGTGTGTGGTTTATTTTCACTCTCTGCTAGTTCTGAACTTCCTACATAATCAGAAAACTCCTCAACTTTGGCTTCTGCTGTGGTCAAGATCTTAGGTTCATTCACTGCATCCCAAGCTCTGGATTCACTCGGAGTAACTTGACAAGGGACCAAGTGGGTCTCTTCCTCTGCTGACTCTTCCTTACCCACCGTTGTATCGTTACAACCCGAATTTGTTGAAATGACCTTGGCATCCTCTGGCTGCACAGTTTCAGGAACAACGTGTTTATTGTCTTCCTCATGGCTAACCACTAGATTTCTGTCCTGATATGCACCTGAATAGTCCAAATATTTGTTTGTTTCGGGGCTTGATAAAGAGGATAAAGAATCACCATCGATGGAATCATTCCAAACCTCTAAGAATTTAGGAACTTTTTGACTAAAGCTCTTTTCAAACTCACCCATCCTGTTTTCCTCTAAGTTCTTCATTTCAGTAACTACTTCTACTTGGCCATCAGTGCTTATTACTTCCGATTGTTGGAGATTCTGTTCACTCCATTCAACTTGATTTTCTTTCTGATGCTCAGTACTGGGTGCATGGCCCCAGAAGGACAACGCAGCTGAAGAATCATTTAGGTCAGGACTTGATGCACTTGAGTGTGTACACTCATCACTGGAAAGACTGTCTTTGTCATAACTTCCAGATGAACTGGCTCCTGGAAGGCTGTTCTCAGAACTCTTCCCTTCAAGAGTCCTAGTTATCTCGGAACTTGTGTAATTGTCCTGCACATCATTGTCTGCAGAGCCATTCCCATCAGCAAGGCATTGGGGGGACTCCTGAGGTGGCCCTTCATTTACTCTTTCTGGCTCCAGAACGTTATATGCTACCAATTTCTCAAGATTCATTGCAGATACATTTTTTCTTAAATTCATCTTTCCTGAAATCTCAGCAGTTTCCCCTGAATTTCTGTGACCCATGAGGAGCTCTTTGTAGGTCTCCTTTGCCTGCAGGTTATTTGTGGACATCTCTGTTTGTGCATCACAGGTATCCAAGTTATAAGACTCCTCATACTCTAAAGCTTCCTTTGGTTCCTCTGTTTGAGGACTACAAGTGTCCGAAAGAGAGCTGATTTTGCCGGATTCAGTGTAGATTTCTTGATATTCAGATGCAGCTGGAGATGAGAGCTCCTGGTCACTAGGCCCTTCTCCAGAAATCCCTGAGGCACCATCATCCCGAGAGCCTATCACCTCCTCTGTATCAAGGCACCTTCTGCTTGTTGCTCCCAGGGCTTCGTGTTCATGCTCACTGTTTCTATAACTACGATGTATCCAAAGATCTGAGCTTGCAACATGTCCTGAGTTCTCAAGCCTGGTGACCAAGGATGCTGTATCACCTGGCAAGGTTCCTGTCCCCGAGTCCTGGTCATCAGGATGAAGTCTGTGTGCTGCTGACTCACTCATTCCAGAGGCTTCTAGCCCGTGGGTGATGTGACTGTTCATAGCATTTGCTGAAGGGCTGGTACTTTGAGAAGGCAAATTGCTTTCTTCTGAATCTGTCATGCATGACCTGCCTGGTAACCTGAATGACGACACATCTTTATCCTTCATGACAGAATCCCAAATACTGTCTGCAATTAGCTGCCCATTTTTCTCATTCAGTGTGTGATATTCTTTGGGAACAGCATCCTTGGCATGCTCAGAGGAGGCAGGGAGCTCCCAGTCTATCTGGTTTTCTTCCTGATACTCTGTGCCCCATGGTTCTAGCTGTCTCACTGAAAATCGAGTTTCTGGTTCAGTGCTCTCATCCATATATCCTTCCACTTGGCCATCACTGGTGATTGCCACCCCGCCACTGCAGTCATCCCAGTCCAAGTCATTGTCCATATCTGATATCGTGGCGGTGGACTGAATGTCCTCAAGAATCACTCTGTTCCACAAGTCAAGGCTGTCAGGGGCCACCTGCTGGGAGTCGGTGCTGCTGTGCAGAAGTGTGAGCTGCCGATTTGTCTCGTTGTACAGCTGCATCATACTGGGGTCGTCATAGCTGGACTGGCTGCTTTCCCCCACCTCGTCCTCCACGGAGATGTTCTTCTCATCTGTGTGCTGAGCCTGCAGTAAGTCTTTATCTGGCTCGTGGACAGCCTTTGTTTCAGGACTGTCATCTGTGTGAGAGGAAGACCACATGTCCAGGTTCCCAGGGCCTGAACTGATTCGATTTCTAGGAAGCTGCTGCAGTGATTGCACAGGAACCTCAGCTTCCTCTACAGTTGAGTCTGCAACTTTGGGCTCACAGACTTCCTGTTTGGCAAATGGCTTGTTTCCTGTTTCTTTTTCCTCCCCAGTAAATGTTGGTGATGTGTAAGAGTCTGAAGTGGAGTAGTTGGTATCTAAGGGAGAAGGCACTGAATCTTCTCCTACATTAGATGCACTGTAATCCAAACATTTGTAGGCCAAGAAGGAATCTTCCCAAGGGGCTAGGACATCTGAGCCTCCTTTCTTATCAGTCTCCTCAAAAAGGTTCCAGGAATCTACCTTTTCATACACCTTCCCCCTAGCTTTAGGATCCACTAAAGCATTTTGATCTTTCCTTGGTGGCTGGGAATTATTCCATGTATGCTCCAGCTTGGAACTGGGATTTCCAGATACAAAGATATTATCCCTAGAGTCATTGTTCTTCTTGACCCAGATTTTTGGAGCTGCCTCATTATTTGCCTCTCTGGCTGAATTGTCCATCAGGTCTTCTGAAAGAAAAGAATACCCACTTTTTGCCATCACCCACTCATTTGGGTTCCCCACCGGTGTCTCGCCACTTGTCGGGTGAAGATTCCAGGTGTTTTTTAGAGCTCCAGTGTCATCTTCTTTATGAAATACACTCCAGGCTGCAAATGACATGGCAGCCACTGGTTGCCCATCATCTGTAGGGTTTCCCCAGGGTGCAGGCATCGCTGTGGGAGAGTGACCAGCCTGCCACAAAGCAGTAAAGTCTTCTATCAGGTGGTTTGTTCCCAGAGGAGAAGCATTTGGTAAATGTGACTTCTCAGTGGGCAGGTTTTGAATCTGCAAGCTTTCCTCCTTTTTGTCTTGAATATCATTGCTATCAAGTTCTGGCTGACAAAATTCAGACTCCCAGGGATCTGACTTTGGGAAGTCAAGACTCTTTGGTTGAAAGACAGGATCTGAAGCTCTCCTGTCAGTGGGGCTAGGCTTATGATCTTTCCATGATTCGGGACTCTGAAAAACAGATTCTTGTTCACTGGAACTCCATGCATCTGCAGCATTTTTAGAGTCAAATTCCAAACCACCCCACCAGCTGCTGCACCGAGTCCGGGTCTGAGGTGGCCCAAGGTGACCTGTGTCCATTGCTTTAGGGATTGTATTTTCTGCATAGAGCAAGGCTGGCTCTTCAACGGATGGCGAGCTTTCCACAAAACTATTCATAGGCGTGAGTGGGATTTGCTTTCCAATATTGTCCAGCCCTTCTGGTGAAGGAGATTCATCTCCCACAAAACCTTTCAGGTTCAAATTTCCTTCAGAGTTTTCTCCCAGACTTTCTTGTCTCTGGACAAACTCCTCATCAAATTCCACCAGGCTATCTTTACCAGCCTCAGACAAAAGTGAACTGGATGAATAATTGGACATGTTGGTCCCTATCTCATCAAGTCCTTTCGGCCCAGGGGTAAGCTGTCCGTCTGATGAGTCACTGTTGGGGAAGTCGTCTGCTGGGGAATAATCTACAGAATGGGAAGATGGCTGGGACTGCCCAGAAACCATGGGAGCTGAGTCAAAGTTGAAGAGGTCAAAGTGTTCACTGTGATCCGCAGACCGTGCATGCTCTTCTGCCACTGCCCCTTCGGGGATAGGACTATAGGAGTCAAAGCCTGGAAGGAGACTGTGGTGAGGCCCAGCACCTTCTCCCACTGGACTCTCATCACTGAGGAAAACAGAGCTCTCCTTGGATGACCGGCTGCTCCGGATGGTGGCTAGCCCGCTATCTGGACTAACAAGGTCTATGTTGACGTCCACCGGAGGCTGGTTAGAATCATTGAGATCTGGAGGGTTCTCCATGAAATTCACAGAGCTGGGCTGTGGCTCTATGTCAGAACCATACAACTCCATAATCCCGGAAGAGCCTTGGGAGAGGGGGGCACTGCCTGCCACAGCTTCCGTTGAGGATGTCCGGCTGTTGGAGGCGATCTCTGGACATCTCCTATTGATGACTTCCTTGACAAGGAGAACCACCTGGTCACAAGTCACAGAAGGGTCCTCCTGCTGGTACACTAGGATCTCATCACAGCCACATTCAAAGGGCTCCAGTTCTAGGCAAGGGTTCTGACACTCTTCCAGCTCACAGCAAATCTGTTGGGAGGAACAACAGTTTGTGCAAGCACTCAGGCCCCCCCCACTCCTGGGAATTAAATGCAAGGCCTTTGCACTGAGCTACATTCCCAGCTCTTTTTATCATGAGATACGGTCTCACTAAGTTACTAAGTTAAACAGCAGGCTGGACTCTAACTTGCAGTCTTCCTATCTCAGCCTCTCCAAGTGCTAGGATTACTGATGTGCAACTTAGGTAATCTGTGCTTGGCAGTTTGCCTTTTTAAATCTTTTTGAATATAAAATTAATTTGTGTACATCTGTTTAAAAGAAGACCTCAAACAACTGATAATTGTATAATGTAAGACAGGGAATGTCCCACTTAATCTGCTACCAAATATTTTTCCAATCCTACTAAAATATCTTCCATTTAGCTGAAATTTAGCTTCTAGATTTCACTGGCTCCTAAAAATTATCAGTAGAAAAGTTTAAAATCATTTAAACTCCTTTCCAACGTGTAATAGAACACCATCTTCCAACAGGAGTGCAACTTAGGTCTTTTTAAAAACAGATATAAGGCTAGTTACTGATGAGAACTTGGGGCCGAGTGCTGGAACAAGGGGGAAAGGCAGGACTTGCAAGGCAAAGAAGAAAGTAGGAAAGAAACAAAAATCTGCCAGGGCTCTTTCCCCAACAGCACACAGGGGCCATCTGTCCCTTCTTCCCCAAGGAACAAAAACATGGAGCCCTGAGCAAACGAAGCCCCCCAGGAGGCAGAGGGACATTATGAGAGACAATCAGTATAAGGCCAGAGTCGGGCAGTTGGGCTGGAGCTCTGTAATGGTTAGCAAATATCGGGAGCATTTTACCACATCACAGGCTTTTGAAATGGGCCTACAGGATTCCTGGAGGTAAAAATTAATAATGGTAGCAACAGCTACAGAAATCACACAAATAATAATAATAGTAGTGAACAGTAAATTTATTGTTTTCCTAAGTATGAGAGTTTTATGACCTTTATCTCCTTTAATTCTCACATTAATTATACAGGGTAGGGACTACTGTTATTCCCATTTTATTGGTGAAGAAATGAAGACGTAGGAAGGTTAAGTAACTTGTCCAACAACACACCACTAACAGGTGATGGGACTGAGTTTTGAACTCAGGCAGTCAAGCTGCAGAGGCAGATTCTTAACTGGTTGTGTAAGCATAAGACAAAGGGGCCCCCTTGCCCCAGAGCCTCGGCCTAGCCCTGTGTGCATTTCTTGAGATTCTGAGGCTGTCTGAGGAGCACTGCTAGGGTGGGGAGAGCTGGTGAGGCAGAAGGAAGAGAAGAGTTGGTTTTAGCCCTTTCACCTGTTCTTCTACTTATGTTTTTTTTTTTTTTTTTTATTGAGTTTATTGGTACATTTAGGGATACAGTACAGTTACATTCATTGTTGGGATCATGTACCTTTACATGGCAAGTCTTGATTCTCATTTTTTCCCCTTACCTCTGCCCTCCCTTCACCCCCTCCTCCCCTCCCCATCTACAAACACTTTATTTTCATCTTTTCATTCTCTCACATTTTTTTCTTTTCCGTTTTTGTTCTTCCCCTACGTATCACACCTTCCCTACACCTTTAGCTCCTTTCCTCCCATTTCTAAATGTCAGTAATCTTATTAGAATCTTATGCATTGTTGCAGAATATTCACACCAGGGAAACTATTTTAAGTGAACATATTTTCAAATTGGGTTGAAAAAGGGGTTTGCTATTTTGATATAATATAGTATTTTAAAATTTAAAAAATACTATATTAGAGGATTAGGAAGCCTAAATCTTTTCCCTGGGAAGCCAGTTACAGATAAGATTCTGTCTTCAGCACAAGGACCTGAGTTCAATCCCTGGTACCGAAAAAAAAAAAAAAATTCCGTCTTGAAAGCAAGTGCAGAAGAAAGCCTGAAAAGCCACAGGCTGGTCATGTGGTGCACATATGCATGGAAGTCAGAGGCAGGGAATAAGACACATGTGTGGCAGGACCAGGGCTGTTCTTAGCTGGGGACCATGAGAAAGTACAGAGAGAAACCCCGAAGATGTAGAGGCCTGGCTATTAGAGTGGGTCTAGAAAGGAAAGGGGTGGATCTGACAGATGAAGATAAAAGTGTTTTACACCCATGTGGTTCATAAGATACTGGGTCATGCATTCTCCCATACCAGTTACTCCAGTTTGGCATATGGCAGATGTTTTTGCCATGTTGGATTCAAACCTGGGGCTTCTCACATGCTAGTCAAGCCCTCTACCACTGAGCTATCTCCCTAGCCCAGCTTCCAATGGCCTATTTCGATTAATTTTGCATAATTCTTTTAAAAATTTTTTTAAACTTTAGGGTAAAAGACTCAGTCATCAAAACAAGGCTCCAACTGATGACCCAGTCAGAATCTTAGTACCTAGGGAGGGACTTGTATCAAAGCATCCGGCCACCACGTACTAAACCCCGGGCACCAATGTGTACTGAGACGGAAACTCCACTTTGTTTTGACCAGAAAGCAGACCCAGAAGAAACAGCCCTAGAGGAGGATTTGCCTTCATTTGGGTGATAAAAGCTCTGATTTTCTATGGAGTCAGTCTAGAAAAGAAATCATTAGGGGCTGTACTACGGATTGGGTAGGGATTGAATGGGCACTCTAGAGGCTTCTGTGCCAAAGCTGGATCCTCAGTGTGGTGATGCTGACAGGCTGGAACTTTAGGAGGGCCCCAGTGGGATTAAGTTATGGGAACATCACTATTATGATGTTGTGTCTAGATGCCCCCCAAAGTCTTGTGCAGCTATAGGTAGGGCTTTTTCAGAGGTTGCTGAATTCAGAGTGTGTGATGCTAGAATTAAGGGTGTGTGATTCCTAAATCAGACCACTGATTGCTTTGGCACCACCCTAAATCCAGTAGCCTAGATAGAGGCAGAAAAAAGCTGCTAAGGTTCCTCACTGCTTGGTTACCTCCTGCTTGCCATGAATTGTTTCTCCTCTGCGATACCTCTCTGCCATGCCACCCTAACTTGGAGCCAGACAATTATAGATTGAAACCTCTGCAGTGAGCTAAATAAACCTTTCCTCCCTTAACTTGAGGTTGTTGGATATTTTATCTCAGCATGAGAGCAAAGTAACTAACACAATCACTCCCAGAAGGGATTAATGAAGATCTCATGGAACTGGATCACTTCTCACAAGAGAGGGTGCTGTAAAACAAGCTCAGCTATCTCAGCTCATTCTCTCGCTTCCTGTCTTCCCATGTGACCTGTTCTGTACTCCCACCATTGTGATGCCATCTGCCATGACCCTCATCAGAGCCAAGCAAATGCCAATACCATGTTCTTGGCTCTAGATCTGTGAGGTAAATTCTTTATAAAACATCCAGCCTCAGGTGTTTTGTTTCACCTTCTGTCATAGACACATGAAATGAACTAACAAAGGCCCTTTAAAAAGACTCCTTCAAAATACCCCCAATATTTCCTAAAACTCAATTCTAAGGACACTTGTCTCTTGGGCCAATTTCTTACAAGCCACAAATCCATTCCCATGTCCTACCAACTATTCTAAAAGTCAGCAGATTGGAAGGCACTGAAATGAGGTGGACTAGGAGGAAGAACTCACCTGACTGCATAGCTCCAGGTTCTGAGAGTACACAGCGATCTGCCTTCTAGGCTGCTGATCCTCTGATAGGTAGCTGGAGAACAGGACAAGGACATCAAAGCCGAACTTGTCTGTGAATGTTTTCAAATCACTGGTGATACTGCTGTGAAACACACAGTCCTGAAACAACAGGAGATCTAATATTAATGTCAAATCACTTAGCTATGGGAGTTGTGCCAGTTCAGTCCTATGATGTGTCAGAACATATATAAGTGCCAAGTGAAAGGAACACTGCTTTGAGAGAGCTGAAAATGTTCACACTGTGGCTTATAACACACTTTACTTGTTTGCTCAGAAGCAATTATCAAGAAAAGATAATTCTTTGCCACCGTTACGAACAGCTGAGATTAGAAACAAAGGTCTTAACATTTTAAAAATATTTACTTTTAAAAATATTTATTCAAGTATATTTTGCAAAGCATATTTATTGCTCTTACCATTTATAAGGCCCATATAAAGATTTTGATCATGATCACAATCATCGGAAAAATAGACAAAGTTATTATTCTTTCCTACAGTTTTGCTTTGTATGATTATTAGTTCCAAGGAGAAATATCTAAAGCCAAGCTTAGCTGAACGTACTGAGTAGTTTTCATTTCAGTGAAGAAGTCCAGGAGAATTGTTTAAGAGTTGTGATGTCAGATTTTCTTGCTCTATATGACAGTCATGAAGAAATGAACACTGCAGAAAGTACCCAGAACGGTGACGCATATCACTTACAGAAAATGTATTGCTTCTACATCTTATTAACTGCAGTGAAAGCCACTTTATCCACATAAAGCCTCCTTCCTTGGCGAAGTACAGACATGAGTACATGCTGGCCTCTATCATAGCACCTGGCATATACCAGCTGCCCAAGGCATGTTTGTAAAAGGACTAGAAAGACATACACAAAATCCATCTGTATGGCACAATCCTCTATCAGAGCTCAGATAAGCATACAGTTGGCTTACTATAGCCATAGTTCAACATATCTGTGAGCCCAAACAATAGTTTATTGCACATATTCAGAGAAAAATTGCACTCTGTACTCGACATATACCAACTTGTGCCCATGATCATCCCTAAACCACAGGATATAGCAACTATTTACATAGCGTGAGCCGGGCATGGTGATGCACGCCTGTAATCCCTGCACTTGGGAAGCTGAGGCAGGAGGATCACTATGAGTTCGAGACCAGCCTGGGCTACACAGTGAGTTCCAGGTCAGTCTCAACTATATAGTGAGACCCTGTCTCAAAACAAACAAACAAACAAAAACAACAACAACATAGTATGTACTTTGTATTAGATATTACAAGTCATCTAGAGATGTTGAAATGAATGTGGGAGGATGTTCACAGATTTTATGTAAATATATGCCATTTCATACAAGAAACTTTGGTGTTCAAGGGGGATCCTGGAACCAAGGTCCCACAGATATTAAGTAATAACTATGTGTGTGTTTGCCTGTGTATATGTGTGTATACTGTGTGTACGTGTGTATATATAACAAGCATATATAATCAATAATCAATCTATTGTGCTACTCAATTAAAAACACCATGATATCCAGTCAAAGGATTTTTAGAATTCTGTAGATGTTTTTCTGATTATTACAGTCATCAGAATTATGGCTGCTGCTGAAAAATATTGAAAGAATACAGAAATACATCCAATACAACATGGGAAGTGCCTTGCATCCCTCCTCAGATAAACGCTGTGAGGTGCTAACCAGTGAAGTGCACAGAATTGAAGTCGTTTTCCATGATCACATTAATGTTTCTGCGCAGTAACGTTTGGAGCTTGTGAATACAATATCTGTGGTTGCTTCCAGCAGCTCTGGTGTTTGTACAAGAGACCCTTGGTAAGTGCGTGGGCCCTGCTGCTCACAAGGTTCTCTATTTTGAGGAGTCTTTGTTATCTATTCCATGGCAGCCAGCCCATGGCATTTCTTACCAGGATACTTTCCCTTGTAGGCCAGAAAGAATCACACATGGGAAACCACAAAGGTCTCCAGAAATACTGCTGAAAACCTAGGGACGATTGTACAGACTTAGTAATGAAGTAGACAGTGTCAGATATAATAACTTTTGGAAGCATGTGCTCCAAAAAGTATACTGTCAGCTCTTTTAACTTACTGCTCAAATGACATCATAATAGTCTTTAAATATCTGCTTTTCAAAAACAAATTCACCACCATGAAGTGTAGCTCAGTGGTAGAGCACTTGCCTAGCATTCTGGAGGGTCTGTGTTCAATCCCAGCAGTACAAATCAATGAACAAATCAATCACTCATGTAGAAGTAGACGGCCTTGGTGTGAGAAGCCCTGCAATTTTCCTCTCTGAATATTTTTTATGTATCTAACCTGCTCCCCAAATGTACTTACAAGCTTTTAAAAGAAGACACACAAATGAGTGAGATTTTCTCATATAATAACAATCATCACTACATTCCTGGAGGCCACTCAAACCAGACAGGACAGGTGTTACTTATATCCGAGCACAAGACTAGGATTCAAAAGAATCAGCCTCATTTTTGCCCATAGTTGTGAACCATTTGCTCTTCAGAAATGTGTCTGTGCCACAGTGTGCTTGGATTCTCCTGTGTTATGCTGATGGCTCCAGAATCCTGTCGGCCCTCAGTCCAGCAGCACTGGCTACACCAGGCCCCTTTCTAGAACAGAATCTCGAAGCTGAGTCTGCCTTTTCCACCCACCTCAGGTGATTCCTTGCACAATGAAATCCACAGATACTGCTTTCATAAGGCCTTTGTCAATTGGTCTCCATTAGGGCAGCTAGGTCCTTCCCGCTCTCAGCCTGTACTGCGACTTGAACTGACTCAGGCTCTCAGGTCATGATTCTTCACATCAGCCTCAGAAAAATTACCCTGGGGTGGGTATTTATGTATTGCTCCATTAAACATTCATATTTACCAGGGCGGAGGCTGGATCCAAGAATCTGTGTTTTCACTGTGTTCTTCAAGTCATTCTTATGATCTAGGTCCTTCGAGTAACACTGTCTCAGTTTTCTCTGGGTGACCCTGAATTTCACAGGATCAAGTGAAGTATTGAAAAGAAAAACTACACGAAACACTTTGTCAAATTAATGAACCAAAATATTTCCATTTTACCGTAACACCCAGGGATCATCAGCAATGATGCCCGCTGTTCCCTAATAAAATTGTGCAGACCAGGTCCAATCTCATCAGCCTTAGAATAATGTCAAGAGTTTCCTCTTTAAAATATAATCAAACGCGGGAATGAGCGAGAATTTTCAGGCATCCGGGAGGTGCAGTCTGTTTGTTCTGCTTTTATGCCGGTGCTGTTTGCATAAGAGATAATTTATTATTGTCCTCTAGCTATGCGGGGAGTCATGTGCTGCCGTGGCTCTTATGCTGCTGACAAGCTAGGCTGGCCCTGAATAAACAGCACTTCATCATCAACGAAATCCAACTGTAGACACAGGTTGGCATTTTATTCCCCCATCTGCCTTCCACCTGATAAATTACTGTTTTAGTTGCATGTATACAAATACAATTTGTTAATCTGCTCAAATATCTGCAAAATATTTCCCCTCACTTAAGCGAAAATTATGTGCATATATAGGCATTCCTCACTCAATCTGCTAAGAGTTTAGAAAAGAAAAAGGACACCCCCTCTTTAATTTTTCCTCTCCACCCTGCCCATATCCCCTCTGTATTTATGAGTCCAGCCTGCAATTGCTGCATAGAACTTAGGAAATTGCTTTGCTAAGCAACTGAGAATTGACTGAGCAAATCCTAGACTAATCCCACCACTGAGGAAGCACAGTGTTCATGGTCACAGCCCTTTTACCACCCATTGTTGCAAAGATTCATTCCTTAAACAGCTTCAAAGGTCATGAATCTTTTTGCCTGAATAATTTCTAGTTGTGGAGTGCCACAGCAGGAAGGCCTAGAAATGTGGGGAGAAAAGCTTTGTTATTTTTCAGCCAAAGCTAAGGTGAAGACGTCAAGAGGCCTAGAAAAAGCTGCTAGTCATGACGACCCAGGCCAAAGAAATAGCAACGGCATGGCTCTGCTTGAATTCATATATACAAGGATTGAAATTGCCATGGTGATAGTGTCCAGCAAATTTACCGCATTCTTGGTCTAAAGTGCACAAGTAAATGCAGTGGGAAATGCTATTCTCACAAAATCCCACTTTATTTCTTACTCCATCACTGAAAAATTTAGTCTGTATGCTAGACACTAGTAGTAATTCCCTTAAACTCAATTCCAAATACTTCTCTAATTTCTTCTGTCTCCACTGCTGTCCTTCACAGCCACCATCACCTCTTGGTTGAACTTGGGTGACAGCTTCCCAACTGCACTCCCAGGGACCACTGACTCGATTCTCTAAACAGCACCTGAGAGAGCACTTCTATTTTTTTCTCATTTTTTTTTTTCTCTTTTCCTTCTTTGTGGTGCTAAGGATCAAATCATCAAATCCAGGCTCTCATGAACGTTAGGTAAGTGCCCTGAGCTACATACTTAGCATAAAATTTACGTTTAAAAATGTAGATGGCATTCTTCTAGAACTCACTAAAAGTTTCCCAATGCAATTATTATTACCGACTGTTTTATGTTTTATATCTGGGACAAGAAGGTTTAATATCCTTGAGAGCAATGGTTTAAGTAAATCAATGAGAAGAAGTAGGCATGCCAATAGAAAAACAGTTGGAAAACATAAAAGACAAATTACAATTGGAATGTAAACAGTCAATAAATAGCTAAATTTATTAACCAAATAAATACTTTGATAATACAATTTTCACTTTCTCTTTTCTTGTTTTTGGTTACTGTTTCCAAGTGGGCAAGCTCATATATGTTCTAGAAATACATGTGGTCAAAGTATATTAAATGCACTATTCCAAAAAGAAATGTATTCTAAAGAGATAATAACATATGTACACAAAGTTTGTGTACAATGCTATTCGTGGGATTATTACTTTAAAACTCAGAAACAAAAAATCTAAATGTTCAACAACAGCAAAATGGTTCAATAAATTATCAAGCAATCACACAGTGGTACTTTATACTGCTTAAAAAGCCCCACCATCAAAGAACACTAAGCAACACACAAAACCCCCCACACGTTACATAGCATTAAGTCAAGAACA